GTATATTATACATATAGTATAGGATGGATTACATTTCTTTTCTAGAATTTTTATTTTTACTAAAACAACTAGAATAACTAGGATGTAATATAAAAGAATAAGTTAAATTAAAGAAAGAAGCTCTTCTTTCATATCGAAACCTATTCTAGTTTCCATCTTAGTTGATCTAATAACTTAGATAACTAAGACAGATCATATTTTTATATGATAAATATGGAATCACATTTTTATAGCATATTTATATTACACAAATAGTATATATATGTATCATAGGATAAGTTTTGAATTTTTTTCTAGACCTTTACTTTTACTAAAAACACTAGGAACGCTCAAAAAAATAGCATACTCATTACCTCAACCTAGATTAAACTATGATTAGGCTTCATAAATGCTTACAATATCCTGTCATTATATCAGCAATAAATAGGCAATAGTTGAGTTGTAAAATAGTACACTTATAATAATCAAATGGATCTAGGCTAAGATAATATATATTGCACCTCTAACTTCAGGATGTGAAATTGGCATACATATACTAGCAACTAGTTGAATTGTGAAATGATACACTTCTGGCAATCAAATGGGCTGATCATAAAAATGCATATCATACTTAATTAACTGAATTTGCTATATTATATAGCAGAAGGTGTTCAGTATTATAACAGGATCACGTGACTGATATAGTAGAATGCAATATAAATTTGATCAGTATTATTTTACAATTTCAGCCAGATCTTTGAGTATAATAACTCAGCATTTAAGCTGGCCTGAAACTGGTAAACTAATAAAAATACTCTGATTTTCTGCCAGTTCTATGATAGTTTTAGGACACTATCAAATTACCATCATGGTGCTAAGCTAGATCCTAAAATCATATGCCCAAAATATTAGCCGAAATTAATCACAAATTTACTACGCTACCTGTTAACTTTTTTACACTATTTCAGCATCTAAAAAGGCAATCAAATAGATGCAAATTTTTAATAAAGAGCTAGTATTTAAACTAGCATAGAGGGCTGGCACCCTCATTATAGAACCAGATATTTAAAGAAGACTGAAAAGCCAGAATCAATAATATAGATTTTATTATGTAAACAGATTAAGAACAAAAAAAAGCAATTACTATTAAATCATAACATCACCATTAAATTAAAATACTACCATTTACCATTAGACTATGAAGTTACCACTATATTATATAGAAACCAGTTAAAAGAATGCTATAAACACAAAGGAGATACCCATAGGCAGTGTTGTTATGGGATATTAATGAGACACTGATAGGACACTGATAGGATATTGATGGAACAGATAGAATATTTGAGACATAGTGTGAAACAGGTTGGAACATATAGCTGAGACATATAGCTAAAACAACAAATCTCTGAAACATCAAAAATGTACATCACTGCTATAGGTAGGTTATGAAGTCACTATTAGATTAGATAATAGGTTATAGAGTTACTGTCAGATCATGTAATTAGATTATGATATCACTGTTATATTATGAAGTTTCTAATAGGTTATAAAGTTACCATTGTATTATGAAGTTACTATTATATTATGAAGATACCGGTAGACTATAAAGTTACTATTATATTATGAAAATATTAGCAGACTATGAAGTTACCTTCATACCCTAATCTAAGTCGCATATGATTTTATAATATAATTATATTATAAAGTCACATGCGACTAATACTTTAAATATTTAGCTAATTTATTATAATTATTTTAATTTTAATATTAATTTTCTTTTAATTCTATTATTTATTTATTCTTATTAATTTTATTATATCTTATTAATAAATTGTATTAAATATTTATATATTTAATATAAATTACCTTCAAATCAATTTTTTAATTCAATTAGTTTAATTTAGATTATAAATTTAAAATTTCATATCAGTTTAGATTTGTATATATTTAAACTAAATTAAATATTTAAATTAATCTGAAATTTTTAGATTTAAAAAAAAATATATCATTAATTTGAGATAATTTTGATTTATAATTTTAAGATATTTTTATTATCAAAAATAATAGAATATAATTTATTTATTAAAAAGAAGTTAATAATAAATTTTATTAAAAAAAATTGATAATTTGAACTTATAAAAATAATTTTATTTAGAAAAAAGAATGAAAAAAACTAATAAAAAAAAAATATTTTTGAAATTGAGAATAACTTTTATTTGAAATAATTAAGATATCTTTAATATTAAGAGCAACTTTTATTAGTAAATAATTAATAAATGATACTTTTATTATTATAAGAAAATTATTATATAAGATGAAAATCTTCTTTTATATTGGTATTATTATTTAAAAATCTTGAAATATTCTCTGCTTTGGAAATGGTTAAGGTGATACAAAATGAAAAAATAGCTATAATTTAATAATTTATTTTGTTTCTGTATTTTTAATTCCAGTTAAATTACAAACTGATACAACCAAGTAATATAACGCATATATAAATAAAAAGGTAATAATCTGCATAGTTTTTTTAAGGCTTTTTGTTTCACGTAAATAAATGTAATATGATTGGCTAAATTATTTTATCGTCGATCAAGTCGGATGATAGGCGCAGATCACTTACAAGAAAATCCGAATTTATTATTTAAAATTAAAAGTTTTACATATAATTTGTTTTTTTTACATATAATGCATTATTTTCTGTATTGGTTTTTCGTTGAAGAGGTTGCAATGTTATGTATAATAATTGAATTTTTTCTAATACAGATGTTATAAAAGAAATCTGTAATATTTACGCGAAAACTTTCCCCGATATAGAGTTATTCCAATGTGAGAAAAGTTTTTTTTTTTAAAAAAAAAACAAAATTCCATGTAAATTCTACACGTACTGAGTCAAAAGAATTGAAATTGTTTTTACATTAAAGTACATTTGACAATCTCGACTCATTAATTACGTGTCATTCACTTCAGTTTTGAAATTGGCGTACTTGAGAAAAATTTCACGTAGAGGTGCATTTGGCTTTGTTTGCACGTTATCGTTTACTATATTGTGCTAATAATAAAGATATGTTTACGAAAAAAGGAGACCTCTTCAATGATTTACAACATGAACGATTCTTATGTTATGATCTCGTGTCTTTAAACTATATTATTATACCTCACGGTAGATTTAGTTGTCACGACAAAAAAAATAGGATGTTTCTGTAATTGACACGTATCAAACGCTTCAAATTTAAGACAATTCACAAATAATACAAATAAAATTTTTTTCTGATATCAAAAAGGTTTGATGCATAAAAATAATGATTCTCATCATTTGAATTAAAAGTACATACGCCGATTATGTAAGAAAATCATTTGCAGTCAACGGTTTTTTTTTAAAAAAAAAAAAATATCGTGAGTCCTAATAAGGGTTAGATTACCTTACCTAATATTTTTCCTCAAGAAACCTATTAAAATATTTCAAAAAAAAAAAACCAATTTAACTTTCTAACGAGAGAGAAAAGTGACATTGCATTATTTTTTTAAAAAAAAAATTAATTTCATCTTTAAATAGTTTTTCCGATCCGGAAAATTATGATTGAATTCTTTCTTTTCTTTCCATTCCTTCTCGGATTCATCATTGTAACCTTTTTATTTATTTATTTTTTATCACTTCTATTATAGGAAGGTTCCAAAACCTTTTTTTTTAGGGGTATCACGTTATTTTTTTTTTTTTTGATCATTCTATAAATCGATTTATCAATCAACGAATAGTTTTTTTTTTTTTTTTTTTTTTTTTTTTTTTTAAAAAAAAAAAAATTTTTCATTTGGAAAAAAAGATAGAAAGATAAAGAGACGAGCTTAGATATATTCAAAAAAACATCCCTTGCTTTGCTTTCCAACGATACGAGATTGCCAACCCATTTATTTTATTTTAATCTTTATCCTTTTTTTCTTTTCCCTTTTTAACGTTCATTGTGTCGGAAAATTCCCAAACCTTAAATTCTTTTTTTCCATTTTCTTTTTGGTCGTATTTTCTCATAATAAAAATAAACACATACATACAGTGCATTCAGCGCTAATTCTTGGTTCGTTTAAGGTTTACATCCGTTATTTGAACCTAGAGACATCAATACCTTTTAAGAAACAAAAAAGAAAACAAACATGACAAACAAAAGTTCAATTCGTTGTCATCGACGCGTTGATAACGCAGCGACAGCATCAACCATCGCAGATACTTCCTCTCCTTTGTTACATCTATCATCTTCACCATCAATCGTTGAAAAATTAAGTGTAGCAAAAAGGCTGGATGAGCTAAAAACATCAGTAAAAGATCAAGTGCATTTATTAAATAAAGAGAAAGAAAATCCGGTCATTAGAAAATTGTTAGAGAAAATTATTGATCATTACGCTGATCTTAAAACAATTCTGACCTTACCAGAATTACTAGCACCTGCCACTAAATCAAGGGCGAAAGGAACTCCAAGACCTCAAAATGTATATATTTTATTTCGCAAAGATGTCTCAAAGGGGTTATACATGCTAAATCGTAAAAATGACCTAAAAGGTTCATGCATGGGCAGAGTATCGAAGACTGTAAATTATTCCTCTAAAATTGCTGGATTTCTTTGGGGAATGGTGAAAACATCTCAACATGAATATGAATTTTGGATTACATTATGTCAAATCTCTTGTTTAAAACATTCGGAAACATACGAAAATTATGTGTATCGTCCCATTAGGAAGAAACCTAGGGACGTTGACCGGAATAATTTTCAAGCCACTAAACGTCAACAATCTCAAACTATTACAACTTCAAAAACATCTCCTACGACTTTAAATCACCCGCCTCCAACTTCAATTCTTGAATCGGATATGAATAATATTCCATCCTACAATGATTATTCTGTTGAACAAAGTCAAACGATAGGTAAAATTATTTCTTTTTTCAATGCAAACAAACAATTAAAAAAATTTTCAAGAATTTAAACCTCACTTATTTTATTTTTTTAAAAAAAGAAATAGATTTTCACGCGTCCGATATGTGTGAAAGACAATCCCCGATTCTGACCAATGAAAGTGCGCTAATTTCAAGACACATTCCGCGTTCGGTACCTGATCAAGGAATGTTAATTAATCAACAACAAGCACAACAGGAACATCATACAATGATCTCACAAGAAGCCGAGGTTCCAATACCAACTCAGGGAATGACGCCAAATCAACCAAGAAGGCGTAGTAATTCACAATATCCATCTCCCACTGTGATTACTACGGCGCGATTCGAATTCGCACCCGCTGCGCCACAATACGTTGAAACGCACTCTACTTACGCAACTTACGCAGTGAACTCGCGGTTATCACAATTTATTGGTCACTCTGACTTGACGCTATTTCAACCCGATCACCATTTTTCCACGGGGCTAACGCAGCAATGTTACCAACAATTTGCGTATGCGAACACCTTCGCTCCTCCACCACAACAAATGGGAATTCCTTCAACGCCAATTGTGACAATAGAATCACAACAAAATACCATTTCGGGAACATCATATTCAATTCACCAGCAAAATTACTTAGAATCTCCGTCGCCTCAAACGGCTGGTGCTGATCCCCAATTCTGCTACCCATCACATGAAGATTTGGTTTTTCTAAGCCAACTAGACGGTTCGGGAAGCCATTCGTTTTTATTACACCAGTCCGATTCATACGAATTTAGGGAACATTCCTAGTCCATAACACCTACCTGTATATAAAAACGTGGTTCTCTAGGAGAGAAATGATCAAATTGTAAATATATCTTATTTCAAATAAATCACAATTTTAATTGTTTCTAGTTGAAAATGTCTTTTTTTTTTCTCGTGATATTACAAATTTCATTCCATGAACGGCTTAAAATTTTATCGAGCAATGCTCATATCGTGACTTTACATTGTAATAAATAATTTTCCCTAGGATATTTATTTACATGTTAATTCGTGGTAGTAGAATTGCTGCCTCCTTTAACAAATAGTCCGACGGACTTTCTATCTTTAAATCCACCTACAGCGGCAACCCAAATTAAAACAATCACAAGGGTTGTAGCATAACCTATTAAGTAAGATTGTAACACTAATCTTCTTCCCTTGGAAAACATAACCTTGGAATTGAACAAGAAAATTGAGAGGGGAATTCCAATTACAAGTACGTAAATTATTACTAACAAAGGTCCACGAGGGAATTCGATTGCGACCGACGCATATAAAATCCCAAATAAAATCCCTCCTAATATCCACCAGATGATTCCCTTAAGTGAATCCAATCCATCATGTTTTTGTCTACGATACGCAAATAATTGTGCCCAAGTCATTATCAAATATCCCGTCGCGTACGAGTAATACCCAATCTATAAAAGTGGATTACTTTAATATTAAGGACTTTTATTTTTCTAAAAGCAAGATGATAGATTTTTCGGGTACCTACAGCGACTTCATCAATTTCCTGATTTGGTAATAAATCATTTACAATCGCGATTGCCGTCGAATGCATTCCGCAGCCTTTTCAACGAAATGAAGTTCCAACTTTTTTTTTTTAAAAAAAAAATTTAACGAATTATAACGTTATTGATGGTGTTGTCCTACCTTGTGCGTAAATCGCTGCGCCTACCAAAAACCAGATGTTTAATAACGATCGTTCCGTTAAACCAAACACTGACAGAAAAAGAAATTTATTTAAGTTAATGAAATCCTATAACGTCAATGTTTGAAGTTAATAATAATAAATACGAAATTTTCGGCCCTCTTGTGTAGGATCAATAAACACTTCCGAAGTGATCATGATAAAGTAATGCAGAGGAAGTGAAACCATAGGTTCCAATATCCCTAAAAAAAAAAAAAAAATCGTTTATCACTGTATTTTTTTTTTTTTAAAAAAAAAAATCAATTGCTTACGATATAAATCAGCGACAACGCCATGAAAATTTATAAGAACTGGGGTTACGGTGAACAGTAAAGTCCAGATAGGAGTAATACTTAATAAAATGATAATCCTTCTGTCATGGCTTCTTTCACTAAGAGATACTTTCCCGACGTGGATTGAATCATCGGATTGGAATCCAAAAAAATTATTTCGTTGTGGTATCTTTTGCGACGACGCAGGTGATGCCATTCTTCAATTATGAACAACAGATTTGACCTTCTTTCTCTGAAGGATCAAATACTTTTTTCTTTTATATAAATATAAATATAAATATAAATATTTGTATCTTTTCCTTTGTCTGGAAAAAAAAAAAAAAAATGTTTGAAACAATCAATCACAAAAAAAAAAAATAATAATACGTTATACTATCTTATCAAAGTGGCAAAAATCACGGAACGGTTGATCTATTAACTTAACTTTTTTTGATGGGCGCTGTTAATTAAATTAATACTTTTCTCCATATTCATCCTTGTCACACAAGACATGGAAAATAAGTTACATAATTACATAATAAATAATATATTCCAAGAAATAGAAATAAAATTTCATTGTCAACAAACCATTTGCAAATAGGCGCAGTTTGTGGCGCGGCTTTTTAGATGACATATTTATTTATACTGGTCCTTTTACCCGTTAGAACTAGGCTTATATTATAAAGAAGGCGGAGATTTTTTTTATTTAACTACAGAATTGGTTTTTTATTTTTATTTTTATTTTTGGCTTTGCTTTTTTTTGGTCTGAAGCATTGTTCAATAAAGCGAAGCGAAATTATATAACGATTGATTGATCATGAAGCCTCAAACATTTACATTAAAAAAAAAAGATATGATATAGATTCTGAAAACGGAAGAAAAGATCCAGGATGCTTTTTTTTTTAAATAAGACGCGTTTATTTATGTGGCAAGTTTACAAGTAATTAGTACACAAAAATACACAAACAAAATGTTGTTAATTAAATTCCTTTCTCCCTCCTTTCAAACACCAAAGGGACCTTAGGTGGCAAAGCTAAAGGTCCCAACATTTTCTTCTTTACTACACCGCCTTCTTCGGTACTAACTTTATATTTTAACATGATTTTATGTAAGAATAACTTCATTGTCATGACAGCGTAAAATCTACCGGGACATGCATGACGACCTCCACCAAAGATTACATAACTTTTGTCAATCTTTGTTGCCGATACATTTTGTGAAAGGAATTGAAATGGTTTAAATGATTTTGGATCTGGTCCGTATTGTGATTCGGAAAATAAACAACCTTCGGAAAAATCGTATACCTGTCGACCTAAAAAAAAAGAAAATGGGGTTTATTTTTTTTTTTTTAAAAAAAAGGAATTTCTTTTTTTTATTACCTTTTGGAATCGTATAGCCGTTTGAAAAAGTATATTGTTTTGCAACAACAGCATGAGGAGTAACAACTAAATAAACCAATAAATATCTATTTTTAACAAAAAAAAAATAAAATTATAGAAAATTATAATACTAAAAATGAATAATTACATATATCACTCGTATGTCGAAGAGATTCCCTGACAAAACTATCCAATTTCTTCATTTTATCAACATCATCAACCGTTAGTTCTTCGTTGGATTCCTTATCGATTTTTAACGCCTCTTCATATAACTCATCCCAATACTCTGGTCTACTCGCATAATCTTTTTTTTAAAAAAATCGGTTAAGTGAAAGCAAATATATATATATATATATATTATCATTAAAACCAACGTTCTTAATACCATATAAAAGGTTTGCGGCACTTCTTCCCGTGGTTATTATACCAACGATAATCATAAAAGCTATCAAGTTTGCCAATTTTTGATAATCTACATTTGTCGAGTCAAAATCTGGATTTGACATATAAAATTCTAACAAATCATCCTACCAAATGTTTAACTTTAAGTTTTAATGTTCGAAACGAAATAGCAAAATAATTTTTTTTATATGTTTGGTTATTACATGTGGTTGATATAAATCGCCAAGTTCTCGTTTTTGTTGAATTCGTTTCTCGACTACAGGTTTGATACGATTTATGAGAATGTTTTTGTGTTTAGTTATTGGATTAAATCCAATTAAAAATGGTAACCTGAAAATGTTTCAAAATTTTATTAATAAGGGACTGGTCTTTTTTTTTTTTTTTTTTTAAAAAAAAAAAAAATGAAAATGAAAAAGAGAGATTATATTTTACGTAAGAAAATATCCATGTAATTTGGGGTGAATGAAAGAAAGGATTGGAGGGATTGAAAAGACTTTAAAGATTTCATCAGATAAGGTAGCAAAAGTGTGAGTAATATCATCATAATTCGACGCTTCCTATATTCGATAAAACGACCATCTTGTTTGAATTTTTTTTTTTTTTTTTTTTGAAAAAAGAAAAGAAAGCATTTAAAATACTTGCTTCTCCTACGCAAGTATGCGCAGTTGATTTTGCAACGATATGATTCGCTATGTCCCAAACTACTCTATCATTTCTAGGTTCTAACAAAAAAAAAAAAAAAAATTCACGTTTTTATTTTTTCGACACCTCAATTAATAAATATTCCCTTTTACTTGCCATTAGATTCTCCGATCCATTTATCAATACCGTACAAAATGTTTTTCTGAATATTATGGATATGGTATTTTAATTTACCGCTAATCTGTTCTCTAACGGTTTTGGCATGAAAATTAAAGTCTAAATCATGATTTAAGATCACGTGCATAGGAAATATCTGATTTTACATTTAAAGGTTATTGTTCAAAATCCGCAACGGATAAATAATACTAGATAATCCTTGCGTAGAAATACCTCTTCAAGAACTTCAAAAACATCAAAACTTTCATGAGCTCTAAACACTTCTGGTAAATATTGTTGGGATACAACAGTTGTTACCCTTCCAAATACAATAACATTAAAGGGTTCTCCATACTAAACAAAAAAAAAAATTTGCATAAATTCACGTCACATTTTAACATCTTTTATACTGCGATTATCTTTATACCTCTTTTATACATTTCCTAATAAATTTGTCACTATTGAATAGAAAATCGTACGTATGACCAATCACTGGAATGGTATACGGGACAAGTGGAGGTTCATTCTATAAAAAAAATAGATTATCATCATTTTAATATTCTATTAGAAAAATATCGAATTTAAAATTGGTTTTGTACCTGGTTGAGTCGAGGTCTTTTAATATATACGAAAATTATTAAACAAAAAGCAAAAGAAAGCAACGTAAACATTTTTTTTTTCTCTCTAAACCTGTAACAAATAATTTTTTTAATTTTTTTTTTTTTTATTCTTTATATATCTGATAAAAAAAATTGATTTGGCGTAATTAATCATCATTTTTGATCATTTGCTTTGATCATTTGGTTGGCCTTTTCAGGAAAGTTTCTCAATTGTTTGTACTGCGGAAATTTTCGATGTTTTTGTTTTTTATAAAAATACTAATAATGATTTTTAATAATAAAAAAAAAAGGTAACCTTTTTAAAGTTAAATAATAAAAGGTATTAATTTTTATTTTTATTTTTAAATATCAAGTGCATGCATTGACTATTACAAAATTAGGCTTAAAAAAACACTTTAGGTTCCGTCACATGTATCATCGGAATTATGTATGTTTAAAATAGCAATAAGATGTTGCATTGTAACTCAAAATATATATACGATTATTTGATCTCATCTCATATTTATATAAAAATCTAATAAAATTCGTCTTTATTAATTTTAAATTTTGTACAAGAGTTGTTATCGATGTATAAAGAATTACAGGTTTTGATCTTGAGGAAATTTCTTATCTTTTCGACGATATCGGACCACTATTTCCGGTGAAAGGAGAACATCATGTTTAACAAAGCCAACTTACGAAATCTTGGCCCGGTTCCTGGTTGAATTTTGGGGCAAAAACTTATAGACCCGAATCTGGGTTTGATATGTACCGGGTCGGCACAAAGCACTTATTTTCGGCTTATGCAGGTCTCTACTTGTAAGAATGTGTATTCGGGCCTGATTTAAGAAGGCCATAATCTCCTGAATGATGAGCATTTTGATAATCCTGTGGTAGTGGTGCAATGTTTCGAGGGTGATTGCAAACGTTTCAACGATGAGACATGAATGTTGCTGCGTCATTAAAGTTATTCCAACCGTTTCTGTTGCGTCACTAATTCATCTTTTAACAGGGATAAAAATAGCTATTAACAATAAAGGATGAATTATTCGATGTTGGAAATATTATTTTCGCAAATTTCGCTTTAAAAATGGCCAATTGACCCCACTTTGTTTTACAAATCATGTTTCGTGAGGTGTTCAAATTGCAACGTCTCCATTCTAAAGCATTCTGATTCTGGACTCAAGGTTCTTGCACTTTATGGTAATCAATCATGTATTAACTTATTTCAAGACTGGTGATTTTTAGTTGTCAACTGAAAACAGTTCCTCATTATTAATTCGGTCATTCTAATACACTCAAGGAACGCAGAACATCAAACAACAATCAGTAACGTGACTTTTTAATATTATCAAGTGAAATGTTTCAGGTTTCAGGCAAAAAACCGAAAAACCGAAAACCGAAACTCGCCAGTCTTGGCAAAAGTGAAACAATTTTTCGCCCATGTCGTATACCACCTTATTTTTATAAATAAAAAAAAATTTGTTATTACATATTTTTATTACTAAAATTTAAATTATAACTAATACATTCAATCATATTTGTAGTAATAAATTAAATTTTTCTTTGAAAAACTTTATTTTCCATTTCTAAGAAAACAAAAAAAAAAAAAGAATAAAATAAGTGAAAAAAAAAACAACGAAATATCCGCTCCTAAAAAAAAAAAAAAAAAAAAAAAAAAAAGTAGAAAACTTAGTAAAGAGACGATCCGAAGAAAGTTTGATAAACAAAAAAAAAAATCTTACTAAAAATATAAATGATCGTTTCATATCATTGATCGAATTTCAAAAATTTCCAATACTAGTCGTTCTAACCTGAAATGGTCGTGATAATTACAAAAAAAAACTAAAAATATCTGCTGCATGAATGCTAGCACAAGGTACAAATTTCAAATCGGGCGTTCAACTATTGTTAACCTAATTTATGATATAAAACACATCAAACGCAAGATGAAAAATTTCCATGGAAATAAAATGTAACGTAATGATCATTACCCTTTTAATTTGTAAGGGATGTATTAGGGGAACAAGAAAGGAATAACAATATTATTCTTGGGTTATTGTGAAATAAAGGGAATGTTCCTTTTTTTAGTAATGACATGTCCCTGGCAGGATAAAAGCATTATGATGAACCTTAATCGTAAAAGTTGTGTTTAGTTCCACCTCTTGATTGAAAAAATTTTTTTTTTTTTTTTTTTTTTCCTCCCTTTTTTCCTTTTTTTCCTTTTCGTTCTTATTTTTATACATAACCACTTTGATAGTGGTGTGTAATTAATTCTTTATATAATTCTTAAATAAGAAAAATTTTTTTTTTCTCTTTTTTACAAAAAACTTCTCGATATTAAATATGACCGATCAAAACAATATAATACACGATGATGTGATAGAAGAGTTAATTGATAGTAACACACCACCACAATTTTCTTTTTGCATAAATGATGCTGACAATAGGGATACAATACTATCGGACACGAGTAATTCAACTAATGATACGTTAGTTGAAGTACCCGACATAATAATATCGAAGAATCTTTCGTCGATACCGGAAATAATCGCCCTTGATGAAAATGATGTGCCGAAAAAAGTATTTTACGACGAAAGTCTCACCGAAGAACAAATCGCTGAACGTTATAATAGCAGAAGAAAAAAATCGATTTACAAACCAGTACAAAAACCACCATTGATCATCACAACTACTTCATTCTTTCACATTTTCAGATTTGCGACACCATTCGATTATATTTTAATGACCTTGGGAATATTTTTTAGCGTGATGAGCGGTTTATTAATTCCGATCATGACATTATTACTAGGAAACATCTTTGACGTATTCCTGGATAAGGAAAAAGGTTATATAATATCAACTCAAGTCTTTGATCAAAAGATAAACACTCTCATATTATATTTCTCAATGTTGGGAGTGGGATCTTTTGTATTTACCAGTTTGATGATTATGTGTTGGATGTGGACGGGTGAAAGGCAATCAACAAAGATGAAACAAGTTTATTTTAGATCATTATTAAGAATGGATATAGCGTATTTTGAAGGGGATGATGTGACTTCAGGAGAATTGTTAACTGGTGTAAATAAAGATTCCGAAGACATAAAAAACGTTATTTCTGAACAATTAGGGTACTTTATACAATATCTCGTCACGGTCATCAGCACATTCATAGTAGCATTCACTAAAAATGCTATACTTACTCTCGTGATCTTATCCTCCATGCCATTGTTATTTCTTATAATAGCTTACACTTCTCGTAAATCTAACCCATTGATAGAACAAGAACGCGATATATTCGTTCAAGCTGGTAATATATTAGAAAACGCCCTTTCCGCTATTAAAACGATAAGGGCATTTAATGGTGAAGAAAAGGAGGAAAAGAAGCATCATCAAAGCTTACAGGAGGCAAATGACGTGTCGGCAAATTTGGCCTGGATATTTGCTTTACGAACCGGATTATCTCAATTCTTATTATTGTCATTATTCGTGCAAGGTTTTTGGTATGGTGCCATCCTGGTGGCCGATCAAGCTATGGCTCCGGGTGGGGTTTTAAGCGTGTTCTATTCAAGTATGTTGGGATTAAGTGTACTTAAGGGTATCTTACCTAGGTTGGCTACGATTGCGAGGGCAAAACATGCTATCAAATCCATCAATAACTTATTGGAAAAGGGAGCTTTGATGGATCTAGAAGCTTTAAGAGGTTTTAAGTTACCAAAAATTGAAGGAAATATTGAATTTAATCAAGTTAGCTTTTCATATCCGAGTCGTCCTGATACTTGGGTACTTAGGAATCTTGAATTGTACATACCAGCATTTCATACGACGGTGTTTGTAGGTGAAAGTGGTTCCGGTAAATCGACGATAACGCAATTGATTCAAAGATTATACGAACCTGATGATGGTATAATCATGTTAGATGGACGTGAATTGAGGATCTTAAACATTTCTTGGTTGAGGCAGCAAATTGGTGTTGTAAGTCAAGAACCTGTACTGTTTGATGATACAATCTTCGCCAACGTTGCGTATGGTAGATCGTATTATTGGAATACCACGGTAGAGGAAGTTGAAAATGCTTGTAAATTAGCGTGCATACACGATTTTATTATCGAGTTGCCCGAAGGTTATAATACGTCCTTGGGAGATATGGGCAAGAAACTCTCGGGTGGTCAAAGGCAAAGGATCGCAATCGCACGTGCTTTGATTAAAGATCCCGCCATACTCATCTTAGATGAAGCGTCAAGCGCATTGGACATGACCTCTGATTATATGGTACAAGAAGCACTTGAAAATTGTAGAAAGGATAGAACCACCATAGTTGTTACTCACCAACTTAATCACATTAAAGATTCGGATTTAGTTTATGTTCTACATGAAGGTGAAGTTGTTGAATCGGGCACAAAATCAAAATTGTTAGATATTAAAGATGGATATTATAATAAACTTGCGGTCGAACATTCTTCGAACCCAAAACGTCGTACTCCTGAATTAAATAGCATTAATGAACGATTAAGAACACAGAACACGTTGCAAATTGACACTAAAATTGCCAAATTGGTTTCGCCAGATTTCTTGACGGTTGGTTCATCACCATCACCGACCGCTACTTCTTTGTCTCGCGCCGCTTCTTTGAGTCGGGCCACTTCTTTGAGTCGCGCCACTTCTTTGAGTCGGGCCACTTCTTTGAGTCGCGCCACTTCTTTGACTTGGAGACAATCCACTTTTGAAGAACATATGTTTACGGATATGTTACAAGGTACCGCCAACGCTGCAGTTTACAAAAGGCATGGGCAAGATGATGGTTCTTCGATACTTGATATACTTAATTATTATGAGAACGCCGATGACTACGCGGTCATTGATGTAGTAGTAAAAGACTTTGATGATAACAAGTTAAAATCTAAATTTTCGATTCTTAAGCTCATACGAGAAACCATGGACAATAAATTACTTTATTCGGTCGGATTAATCGCGTCAATCATAAATGGATTTGTTATGCCATTTTTTTCATTCGTCTTGGCAAGTTTATTAAATACATATTCAATACCTGATAAAGAATTGCTCGTTGCAAAGTCAAGAGAATTCGCGTTATACGTCCTTGGAATTGCCGCTATAAATGGCTTATCATCACATTTTAAATATTACTTATTGGAAAGGGCGTCAGAGAGATGGGCGGTTCGTCTAAGGCATTTGGGATTCGGGAATGTATTACGCCAACCGCAATCATGGTTTGACAAATCCGAGAATGCAATCGGTAAAGTAGCGACCATCTTGACAACGGATACCGACTCATCCAAAAACTTGATAGGACATTTCGCCGGTAACATAGTGTTCGGATTAGTATCATTATTTGGTGGGATGATTTGGGCGTTCGTCATTGGATGGCAATTAACCTTGGTCGGATTTGGGTTAGTACCAATCTTACTTATGGCAACCGAGTATCAAGGGTTCATATTACAAAGATATGAGAAAAGACAAAAGGCAGCCACAGAGGATGCCACGAATTCTTTTTATCAAACCATTTCAAGTATACGAACGGTATTTTCTCTCGCGATTGAACCCGCCATGGAAAGTAAATTTCAAATCGCACTGGAGAAACCTTTCAAAATTGGTGTTAAAAAGGCTTTCCTTTGTGGTACCACCTCGGGATTTATGGATGCTTTGTCATATTTCACCAAAGCTCTGACATTTTGGTACGGTGCTAGATTGGTTTCGGATGGAACTTACGATTTGAAAACCATGCTCTCAGTCTGGACCTTGGTTATATTTTGCACAACTTCAGCATCACAAATGCTCGCGACCATTCCTTATTACGCGAAGAGCAAACAAGCGGTTAAATCCATTAATTATATTCTCCAACTACCTACGGTATCTGATTCAGAAGGTCACATACCCGACAATATTAAAGGTTCGATCGTATTTAAGGACGTTAAATTTTCTTACCCCGAAAGACCCGAAATAATGGTACTTGATGGATTAAATTTAACCATCGAACAAGGTCAATCCATTGCATTAGTAGGTAAAAGTGGTAATGGTAAATCCACCGTAGCAGCTTTATTACAAAGGATTTATGAGCCAACGGAAGGATCGATCATGTTGGATTACGAAAATTTAAAGAATCTACAATTACGATGGTTAAGGGAAAATATTGGCATAGTCAGTCAAGAACCGGTATTGTTTGATATGACGATCGGTGAGAATATCGCATACGGTAAAGAAAACGCTACTCAAGAAGAGATCGAAACCGCGGCTAAACAAGTGAACCTACATGATTTCATAATCACTTTAACGGATGGATATAATACTAAACTTGATTCAAGTGGTTCTAAATTATCTGGTGGTCAAAAACAAAGGATTGCCATTGCTAGAGTTTTATTAAAAGATCCTAAAGTATTGATTTTGGATGAAGCTACAAGTGCATTGGATACCACTAATGAAGCCATCGTACAAGAAACTCTTTACAAAGTTCAAAAAGGTCGTACGACCTTGGTTATTACACATCGTCTTAAAAGTATCAAGAATTTAAATAAGATTGCTCTGGTTGACGGTGGTAAAATCCTTGAATCCGGAACTCATAGGGAATTAATGACCCTCCGTGGTGAATATTTTGATTTGGTTAGAAGTGGTAATTTATAAATAATAAATCGGGAGGAATATTAAGATGGTTAATTCAACAAACACCAAAAAAAAAAAAAAATATATTGTCCCTGGTGGGCAAATTAATTTATTAAAAACAATTTTAACCTTTTTTAATCTTTTTATCTTTTTTCAATTTATAAAAGACTTTTTAATTTTATTTATTTATTTAAAAAAAAAATACTCTTGTATTTATATAATTACTAGAATAATATTTAATAATTTAGTGGGATTTTTGTAAAAAAGAGAAAAAAAAAAATTATTGTCCAAATTTCCATAGCGTAAAGAAAAAATAAAGAGCGTGAAAAAATAATGATCTGATGAAATTTAAATAGCCAATCAGAGTATTGGAATTTGCGTGATCAATTTTTTTTAAAAGGTTTTAAAATTCGCATACGCATAATATGTATACATCGTAATCGACCCTAATAAAATATATATAAAAAAATAAGTTTATACAATTTATTCCACCCTAAATCAAGCTATTCCTAAATTTAACCATTTCATTCTATTGTAAAAATGATGAAAATTACGTCACAAAAAAAAATCCCTTTACACGTTAGATTTTTTTTTTTTTTTTTCATGATAACATCCCCTTTCATTAAGAATTGAAATATCCAAAGATATCCAAGCAACAAGCAACAAGATAGAAAGTTATCTTGATCAATCGAATGGGCTTTTTTCTGAATTTAAAGGTTCAAAATTGAAACCATGGTCGTCACTTGCGTGACTTGAGAAATCCAAGTGACTTGAGTCACGTAAGTAACTTGGTCTATTTCAATTATCGCAGTTGAAGTCGACACCAACATCCTGTTGGAGACGTCTTGGGAGTAAATGACATAACTACAATTTAAATTATTCACGCTTGCAGGATTATTCGGGATGGTGCTTTCATACATGGTGTTTTCATTTAGATTATTCATGGCGTTTTTTAAAAAAAAGAAAAGGGAGAAATTTAAAAAAGAAATTGTAAAGAAGAAAAAAAAAAAAAAGGTTTACTCGTTGTTTCTCGTTATCAAAGGGTGAAAAAATTCTTTGAAAAAAATTTAAAAAAAAAAAAAAAAGGTTGAAAGAGAAATCAAGGCTTTTTATAATGAGAAAAAAAAAAATAATCGCGCGATTTTATGTGATCTTTCTTCACACCGCATTAATTATCACGTCTCAAACTACGTGCTGAACCGGATATGTTATGCATTGTCGTGACAAGCATTGAACGGTATTTCTTTTGACACACCCTATAACGATAATATATATTATTACACTAATGATTTATTTATTTATTTTTTTAAACAATTTAAAAATGATGGATCGGCCAATTAATATTTAAATATTTTTTTTAAATAAAAGATTTAATTGAATTTAAATTAAAGTAAAAAGTAAAAGATTTATTCTAAAAATAAGGAAACCGAATCTCTTACAATAGTCACCTCCTTAAACATGTATTTTCGGGTATAGAAGAAAATGGTTTGAAAATTTAAAGGTTATGGTGACAATTAAACTGTAAATAGTTTTTCGGATATTGCAAAATTGTGTAAATTTAAATTACAAACGCTAAATGGATATTCACTGTTTATAATGATGACCGAAAATTCTTTCATTAGGTTCAATGGGAAGATTTTTGAAATATTCTTATATATGACAACATACTGAAAAAACTTCTATTACACAAAACCCATATTTTAAATTTAATTCATTCCTCAAATGGTAAGAAAGTTTGTAGATCCGCAATTTCCTATGAAAATCGAACCATCGCGAAAAGACCGTTAAAAAACATACAAATCATACATCGTTGTGATTCAATTCCCTTGAATTTTTTACTATTATTAGCATTTATATATCTCCGTCTTTTTCCCGGATTTTCTTCATTCTTGTATAAAATATATTTAGTAAACTAGATGAGGAACATACGTTAAAATTTAATAAATTTAATAAATTACATAAATTACATTTCATTTTCTTTGTCCCATATCTTTATTCATCTCTCAATAGGAAAATTTTGATACTTTCATTTAAATGTTTGTCAATTTAATGGGGAGAAATTTAAATTTGTATCACGATTCACCTTTTGCAAGGGGATTGAATTGTTTCGAGATAAACAGGTTTACGATCCAAATGTGTAACGAAGAGGTTCCGGAATTTTATCGCAAAGTTAATATTACACACAATAAAACGTGTTCATTGTGTAATTCTTTTTTACAAATGATTTTTTTTCCTTGAATATGATTCGAAATTCATGAATAAAAAGTTTGCATTGAAGGCGTGTTTTTTGTCGTTGTATCATTAACTTTAAAAGATCATTTTTTTAATTGTTTTTGAAATGCTGTATCAAATATCCATGTAACATGATTAATGATTTGTCATTGATTGAGTTACAAATATACATATGAAATCATTTATTGAAATGAATGATTGTTATTTTAGACCAAAAACATACTTTACCGAAATTTCCTATCACACGATTTTAATTAATACTAATATAATTAAAGAATTACAAATATTTGATTGTTTAGAAAACTGCTGCGTCATATAAATGTTTATCCACATGATTCTTTTGAAATCTCAACAACATGATGGTGGGAAATTTTCGATTGGCAATGAATGTATCACAATGTTGTGCGCTTTTTTTTGAACCACAAAAAAAATTTTAATAAATAAATGACTAAAATTGTCGAACAAAATAGTGTATATTCATTCTATTACATTAAACGTTCTTAAAATCCAGCTTTTGAAAGAGTATTTTACATTTGATTCACGTGCGTTCTTTAACTTCTTTAACTGCGCATGTATAAAAGTTTAACCGATGAACCGGATAAATCGATGAGGAGGAAAATAAACAATAATTTAATTCCATTATATAATGAACCTTAAATTAACTTTCTTCGTCCCTCTTGTCCCCCAAAGCTCATGATTCCTACAGTTTTTACGCCTTCACCTTTACGCCCCATATCCAATTTAAACTTCAATTATTATAATTATAGAATTTTTTTTTTTTTCCAGAGAAATGAAATGCATATTTTAATACGTTACAAAAAAAAGCGATAAATATTTTCTTCAATTACAAAATAACAAATATTTTTGAGAACTCTTTTTATTAAACATTGAAATATTATCAAAAAAAAAAAAAATCCTTGAATAAAAAAAAATAAAATAAAATAACATTATTAGGTTAAGAGGTTGACCGTCAAAGTACGTACATTTTTTATTTGTTTCTCCTCGACCAAAAGCAAGAAAGACAATTAATTCTCAAATGAATTCAAATCCACAGTTGCGTCAACATGTATGTTTGAAATTGCCGGAAGGATACGAGAAACAACAATCTCGTTAGATGCCTGAAGCATTTTGTCGACAATTATTTCCAATTTTGCCGGCCGGTCAGATGTTTTTGAGACAAAGTTGCTTGAAGCATCTTGCCGACAATTAGCCGGTAAGATGTACATTAGACAAAATGCTTTTAGCATTTTGTCCTCTAAAGTTCCCTTCTCGCCGGCCCTTCGGTGTGCAGGTTCGTTCAAATAGCCTTTTCTTATCTATTTAGTCTTTTTTTTTTTCGTCTTTTGTATTCCAATTATTATTAATATCAGATTTTATGTCAATGGTTAATAAAATTTTATTTTTAATTAAATATCAAACTTTTATCAATGTTTTATCTTTCAAATCATCATTATCAATATCAAATGTTTAACTGAATTATATTTATTACTATTCATTGATGATGACAGAAAATAAACATTTGCATTTTTTTTATCTCGATTTTTTGAAATGGCACGGTTTATAGGTTATTCAAAAAAAAAAAAAAAATATTCATTTGCATGCACACACTATAAATTCTCTCTAAATGCATTGCATAAGTTTTTATTTATTTTGCTGCGCCCCCTTTCCAAATGCCATTTGTAATTTTTTTTTTTAATTAAAGCAAGCTTGTAAGACAAACAAAAGCTTGGTATAAAATCATGAAAACCCATGTTTTATCTGCAAAGACGCCGCATGAAACTGCGCCATAACAATAAACGTCACTCGCGAAACTTTTTAGTTTGAAATAATGCTATCTCGATGATTCAGAACTATATATATACTAGCAATTCGGAGCAAGATATCCTCAGATCAGAAGATTTTTTTTGCAAATGAAAATTTTTTTTTTATTATATCAAAAACTAATACATCGCCTCCACTTTTGTTTCTGTACCTAAAAATGACTTGCTCACGATGTTAGAAAATATAATACGTTGGAACTCATCTCGTTTTTGCGGGGACAGGACTTTGTGCTAAGTGAGAAGTCTTTCGAAATTTTATAAAATGGAGGTTGACAGTCGTGCATTCAAGATGTCTGAGCAGAGGTTCAGGGATTATTAATAGTATGAAGGGTGGACCAGCTGTAAAGCAATCGGACTTCGCCAAAGAGATTAAGGAGAAAAAGAAATGCTCGTTCTCCTCGTACAAGACTAAGAAGAACTGAGTGAGGTGTTACGCAAGTATGGGTTCGTAAGTAGGGATATAAACTCGCATTCCACAGTTCATACACGTAAGTAAATGGTTCTTTATTAAAATATTTTGAGCTCACATATCAGGAATATAGCGTCCCGAATTTAAGTTATGCATTGATGATATTTTTTTCTAAAGGAAAAAAAAGAAATTTGAGCCCTGTTGTAATAGTAATGAAGCTATGCGGTGCAACTATATTTCAACAATATTACATATGGTCTTCTCAATGATTTGATAATTACACCTCAGGCGAATATAATTGAAGAAAATACGGGCCATGTTGACTATGCAATCAAAAAATTATCAACGAGATGTTGGAGGAAATAATTTGCATAACAAACAAAATCAGGCGACTGTGGTTATCTGCCAAAACTTACTACCATGTCGAAGTGCGTGTGATGTAAATATAACAATTTTTGCTACCCCGCTCGTTACAGGTTGATCATGGGCTGTTGCTAACTCTGCTCACTATTTCCCTCCAGATGAATATAAGTAAAAACCGAAAGTCAATAGGCTTTCGATCCCGATTACAATTACGTCTATGGTATAATCAGTACTGGGACCGACTAGTACACTTCATTCTTCACAGCACCGGTTATTTATAGTACGAGCATCGAATTTCACTTACAGAAGATGCTATCAAAGATACAGAATTTCGTAAGAATGTGAAGAGAGTTTTAGAGGTTATAGTAGGTTTATTAAAGGATAGAGTAGTAGGTAGCGAGGAACCCGCAACTAAGAAGCGCCGTGTAGAAGAGATAATCAAGAAAAAATAATCGTGTACATTAGTCCACCATTAACATAGAAACTTCATGTATCACGGGCAAAGTCCCGAACTTGTATTTATTTTTTATTCTGTAATAATATAGCGTCTTTACATTTGCCACATAACCTTGAATTAATTCCCATCTTGTATAAAAATTTTTCCTATATCGTACTGCGCATAGCTGAAAGAATATACTGCGGTATTATGAGATTCATTTAGAAAAGCTTGCTTGTCCCGTGATCGATCCCGTATGGTCTTACTGGATCAATAATTGTATAATTGATTTGTTTTACGCCGCCTTACCAAGGGAAAACTTGTTATAAAAATTCCCAAAACGGTATGTCTTCAAAACACAAATTCAAATTGGTTAATAAAGGTTTTTACTGGTTTTTTTTCAGTTTTCGGAATATTGCATTTTCGAGCGTTAACATACCAAATCACCCACAGGTGTTAAAATGTCTAAACTGCCTAACCATACATCCGAAAAGTCTGAACTTGAAAAGAAGGAAATGAACCTGAAACCGCCAGTTATAAATTTTCACTGAAGCGACAAATTAAAAAGTTGTTGAAAGTCCAGCTTAGCTGAAGAACTAGGTCTCGATTTTAAAAATAAAGATGACTTGAGGAAATTTTATGGTATATAACAAAACTGTTTCAGCTTGATTGCATTTTTACTAATTTATCCTTGTTTAGACTTCGCTGGTCCCAACAGGACCCCCGAATACCCCATATTTTTATTAGTAAACCTTCCGTAGACAAAGGTCATTTCCGTACAAACCAATTTTATAAATCCGTACATTAAACTTCAGGTTTTATATTATCTGTACACTAAACATCTTTATTAATAATCACAATTCTGTACACCAAACTTTTAGAAAATTCAGTTCTGTACAAGAAATTATACAAAAATATTTTTTAAAATACTAATACTATTCTGAATCATTTGGATTTTCTTGACTACTTTTTTTCATTTTCATCAATGCTTCAGCTTCCAAAATTCCCGATTCTATGCTAGCAATTTTCTCTACTGATTTTTGATATAATTATAATTGTATTGCCGTTAACATACTATATCGTCCTAAAAAATTTGAATTAGTTTAAATTCTGACTTCAACATTGCCTAAAGGATTAAAAAAGCGAAATGAATATTCTTCAAGTGCAAATTGAATTCTTGATGGATCTAAATACATTGAAATTTATGCAGATCCAAAATATCTTGCTTAATAAAATAGCATGGATGTGATTAGCATTTAGTCCATCCAAGGATTTAGCTTAAAGATATGATGCATTACATTTCTAAATATAATTATAGTAGTTTGATTAAACAAATACTAAAATTAATAAATTAATAATTACTTACCTTTAATACTGCAAGAATTTCTGCTATATAGATATATTCACCATTATAAATATAAAGATAGAAGTTATCAGCAGCATAATATGCATTTACAGAATCAAATCTTATAGTACTAAATATTATTTAACATGCATTTGTCCATTAGGTAAATCAACCTTTAGTTCAGAATATAAATTTCTCTGCAGCATTTATTTGTTCAAATCATAAAGCTACCTTTAAATCAAGAGATCTATTTGGTATGTTAATTACAAAAATTTAAGATCTTTGTGATAATGTTAAATTAAATTTTCATATTTCTTTAAAGGTATATTCATTAAAATTAGCTTAATTTAAAAAAATTACCATCAATTTAATTAACATAATTATTAAAAATAAGTTAATTTCAAATATCTAACCTCTATGATATACTAATCTCAATAGTTTTCAAGATTAATTAATTTAAAAAACAGATATTAATTACTATTAAAATTATAAAACATTTTATCATTATATAAATTATATATTATATTAGTATTAAAAGTAGTGAAATCATATTCATTAGGTAAGTTTTGACACATTGCAAGTCTTTACTGATAAATAAAAAGAAACTCTTTAACTGCTATTATTGATTTAATAATATCATTATAAATTAAATTATCTTTTAAATAATCAGTATTAAATGTATAAAATTATGTTAACTATTAAAGCATTCTCAAATAATTTGTATTAAAGATGGTTCCTATAATTATTTTTAAATTTCAATTGAGTTACAACTTAATTGCACCATAAGGAAATTTAATTGTGTTACAAGTTGCAACTCAATTGTGCCATTTTTTTCAATTGTGATGACCATCTTTAATTTGTATATATTTATTAAATAAATTCTATATTGAATAATTTTAAAATTTCACACATAGCCTTTAAAACTTAAAATACTCAGATAATAATTAAATTATTATTCTATTTTTTCAATTCAAAAAAAAAATTTAAAAGAAATAGTCAATTTTTATTTACCTTTTCTATTATACTTCCAATTTTATATTTAATTGAAAATAATATTAATTTAGGATTTAATGATTTTTTAATTAAACTGAGATATATATTTTAACTATTATTATTATTAAAACATTTAATACATACTAATATAATTAAAAAAAATAAATGTTCTTTTTAATTTAAAATTTTAAATATAATAATTATTTAACTTTATTTTAATATTAATATTTTTAATAATCTTTTTGTTTATCATTAATAAAATCTAATAATGTAATATCTTCAATTAATCAGTATACATATATTCTAAAAATACTATAGAAATTAATCAAAAATATAAAAGAATACCATTATATACTAATAGAAAATAATTAATCAATAAAATTATTATATATTCAAAATAAAAAAAATCATCTTTTATTTGTCAAAAAATATCATATTTTTTTGAATTATATTAAATTAAGTTATTTTTGATATATTTTCAAATCACTATAAAAAATATAGTTTTTGCTTAAATATAAGTTACTTGATCAATATGAAACATAGTTTTAGATTTCTATACTTTTAAAAGCATTTCTAAAAAAAATAGATAAGTAACATCTCTATAAAAGGTATTATCATTGTACTTTTTAACATATTTAGAATTTACTAGTTTAAGTTAATAAAATTAATATCAATAATAAACTAAAATGAAAAAGATTTAAAGCAGCAAGGAAATCAGGCAGACTTCTCATTTTTCACTTAGAAACTTGAAAAAGATAGTTATTAAAATAAGTAATCCAGGTTTCTCTGCTGACTAAAATGATTACTTATTGATTCACTATTCTAAAGCTCTCAAAATATAGTTCTACTATATCATTAAAATTTATATTCTTAGAATCTATTTCAACCTCTCTTACTTATTAAAATTACTAATTTGTTTTATTGTCTTTGTATGTCTTCCTGATTATAATTCTGTTATAATAAAAATTTACACTTAATAAGGGATATATGCAGACTGAAGTAAATTATCCATGAACTTTAAGAAGATAAATATACAAATAATGTACCTTAGCCTTCTTTTACTCATTAAAATCATAAATTTATTTTCTTACTTATGTATGATTTTCTGATCACAATTTTGTTATAATAAAAATTTACACCTAAAAGTGTATTCTTAGATGTAAAAAAAGGAGTGTAAAATTATCATATACAAATAATATTTATAAGGTTGCAAAGCATCAAAGATGCGAAACATATATATAAGATATATTCACAGAGATTACAAAGTGAAGCAGAGCATGTACGCAAATATGAAAAAAAAATAGGATATATGAAAATTTTTAAATGCGTATACATAATAATGATAAGATAATGCTAAGATAGTGATAGGATAATTCTAGAAACTGATCTAAAACTAATCTAGAATTTCCTACCCTTTTTCTAACCTCCTAGTATCTTTTAGTAACTTACTATCTTCTAGCATTCTAACCTCTTCTAGCATTTCTGTCTTCCTAGCCTTATCTTGAAGCTTATTAAAATATTGGGTTATATAATAAGTATCAAAATACTCTTTATAAAGGTTAGATTTATAGCTAGTCAACTTATTACAAACTTTATAAAGAATGTAAGGTTTAGTTTTCTAATATTCAAAATACCCTTCAGGCTGACGATAAGTTCACTCACAGATATATCCAATCATGAGTAAATAATTGCAATAATATTCACCTATTATAGTAATAAGAAATAATTATTTTATTTTAAATAAAAGTTTTTACTATATTAATACAAACATTTAATACTTATACAAAATGGTTAATTATAAAGATATTGAATCAGTATTAATTGAGATAATCAAAATGACATATAGCTAAGACATGATAGAATATAATAAAATGAGATTAACATATGTGAGTTATTTGAAAATAATGCAACGCAAAAGAGATCCAGATGATCATTGCAAATATGTAGTAAAGCAACGAGCTTCAAATGAGAAAATTTATAATAAAAGAATGGTGAATTTCAAAAACTGGTATAATAAAAAAGTGTATCAGAATCTTGAAAAGTTATACAAATTATATCTCTCATTTACGAATCAAGAAGAAGTTGTATAAAAAGATCTATAAAAGAAGTAAATAAAATACTTAAACTTCATAAATTGGAAATTTAATTCATAAGCACCTATCGTGATGATAATTTTGTGTT